ATGTGAAAATAAATACCCAATATATATTCTAATATAACATAAATATAAATATATATTCTTATATTACATAAATATATATTCTGATAATTATTAAATAAAAATAAATACCTTACCTTAAAGTGATCACGAGTTTTTCTTCTGGTGATACGCTTGACCTCATATGGGTATTAGAAGATGTAATTTGTTCACTGATTATTTCCAATAATTCGTCAAATGACTTTATTGACATTCTTAAATAGTTAAAAAAATTCGGAATCATAATTCCTTAACTTTGCATATAAAGACACAAACTGACCATGAGTGAACCGATCTTGTAAAATTGGATGCACCCAATACTGCCGTTTCCTTTTTTTTTTGTGGAGTAGGAGTAAGTACACACATATTGCCTCTTCAACTTCCATGATTGAACTGAAAGGCTGTCACCCTACCTCGCAGTCCTCGCACCGCACAATAACCGCGCTTGTCTGAATACTTCACTATTCTCGCGGATCGGACCCGCGCGGTTTGCGTCCGCACGGTTTCCGCCGAGTCTGAACGTGCTCTTACGGCCGATAGTTTGCACAGTATAGTATTAAATGTACTGGCTAGATCTCAATAAGTCGCGGCTGTCAGCCGCGTCCGATAATTTGTTCTCAGCTATAGTCGTAAGTTAAAGCTCTCACATAGATGAGTGTTCTTGTATATATAGAAGTCGGTGGTGTTGGTGGACTTACATATTCTATTTTTAAGACAAGCCGGTTTTCTCTCGATATTTTCTTTCACCGAGCACGTCATCAGCACTTAAACACATGTATTTTTTTATAGGACGTGGGTGACAAACGAGCACACAGTCCACCTGATGGTAAGTGGATGCTGTGTCCCATAGACATCTAAATTTATCCTGAATTAAAATGGAGATGCATTGCCAGCCTTGAGGATTAAGACGAAATGCCTCGTTTCCAATAAAAAGGGTCTCCGGTTCTCTACACTCACCATACGAAACATAACAGCATTCAACTGCTATTTTACGCTAGTATTCTGTGAGTGTGTGGTCCTTCCCCGGTCGAGTAATGTATGTAACAAATCTGTGCATAGTTTAAGAGCACGTTCAGACTCGGCGGAAACCGTGCGGACGCAAACCGCGCGGGTCCGATCCGCGAGAATAGTGAAGTGTTCAGACAAGCGCGGTTATTGTGCGGTGCGAGGACTGCGAGGTAGGGTGACAGCCTTTCAGTTCAATCATGGAAGTTGAAGAGGCAATATGTGTGTACTTACTCCTACTCCACAAAAAAAAGGAAACGGCAGTATTGGGTGCATCCAATTTTACAAGATCGGTTCACTCATGGTCAGTTTGTGTCTTTATATGCAAAGTTAAGGAATTATGATTCCGAATTTTTTTAACTATTTAAGAATGTCAATAAAGTCATTTGACGAATTATTGGAAATAATCAGTGAACAAATTACATCTTCTAATACCCATATGAGGTCAAGCGTATCACCAGAAGAAAAACTCGTGATCACTTTAAGGTAAGGTATTTATTTTTATTTAATAATTATCAGAATATATATTTATGTAATATAAGAATATATATTTATATTTATGTTATATTAGAATATATATTGGGTATTTATTTTCACATAATATCAGAATATATATTTTCTACAATAGAAGACTGTGAGTCATCAGTAGTGTATGATGAAGGCGATGGAGATCCCGCTGGTACAATTGTAGAGTATCCAGTAAAATATCCTTGTGGATTTGAATATGGTTGGCTATTTAAATATGCTGTATTATGCATGTTTTGCTGGTTTGTTGTAATGCGAAATGGCAATGGTAATTTCTGTCCCTTCTCTATTACTTGAAGTAATTCAATTTTAGTAGCCAAACGCTTGTTTTCTGGAACTTTTTTTAATTCTTTGTACAAAGATAAACAAAAAAGCTTATCATCATCTTGGTTAGAAATATTTTCTTGTAATTCTCTTTGTAATTTATCTCGTGACTGAATGCTCTCCTCTAATATGTTAGCCAATCGATCTTCTGGTGCACTTTTACTTTTTTTTCTTTTTTTGGGGGGAGGGGAGCGTATTTCACGTGAATTCACAAAATTATTTTGGTCTTTGTCACTGTCTTCATTATGCTCATTTTTTCGCTTCTTCTATGTTACTAGTTGTTTCTTTATTTTCTACCGTCTTCTGAAGAAAGGAAAGCCGGTCAAAATACATGTATTTTGAACCTTTACATGCACCTGAACCAGAAGGAGCTGACTTGCCTTTTTTGAATTCCTTGTTGTAGGCATCACGTATGTTCTTCCATTTTTTTTGCAATGTTACACCTGAATAAGAAATTTATCGTTAAGAAAAATGTTAAGGTTTTCATAATATGTGCTGGTATTTTTTTTTTGTTTCAGATATCTGGCTATTGGTTGTTCCTTTGGAGAACTTCGTTACAACTTTCGTCTTGGCAAATCTACAACCACAGGAATTGTCCGTGAAGTATGTAAAGCTTTGTGGAAAATACTCGCAAAAAAAGTCATGCCCGAACCGAGTGAAGATGTGTGGGAGAGAATAGCTATAGATTTTGAAAGATATGCAAATTTCCCCAATTGCATAGGCGCCATAGATGGCAAACATATAAGGGTTATAATGCCTGATGATTCTGGATCTTTATATTATAATTATAAAAACTATTTTTCTATAGTACTTTTGGCACTTTGTGACGCTAATTACTGTTTTACTTTTGTTGACATTGGATCATATGGAAAAAGTAGTGATTCTGCAATATTTAAAAATTCAATATTTTATAAAAGATTAATAGAAAAATCATTACACATACCAAAACCTAAACCAATATCTAACGCAGATCCTTTACCATTACCATACGTTATAGTTGGCGATGAAGCGTTTGGTTTATCGGAAAACTTAATGCGACCCTATGCGGGTAAAGGGTTATCATACGAAAAAAAGGATTTTTAACTATAGGTTATCTAGGGCTCGACGTAATATTGAATGCAGCTTTGGTATTTTAGCAAACAAGTGGCGTATTTTTCATAGCCCTATAAACGTTAACATAGACTTTGCCGAAGACATAATAAAGGCATGTTGCGTGTTACACAATTTTGTTAGGACAAGAGATGGTGTACGGTATAAAGACACTTTGTACACTGCGCCAATGAGTAGTCTTAATAAATTACATGCAGGAAGAGGTACACCTTCATCTTTGAACATTAGAGATAGATATGCTAATTACTTTGTGAATGAGGGTCGTGTAGAATGGCAAGATACTAAAATATAAATTTATAAATATGTATATTACATTGGTAGGTATCTATATTATGTAAACACAATCACAAACAATGTAAAGTAACTACTAGGAGAAATGTTTAAATAAAGTACCTACTAACCAAAAAGTTTTTTCTTTTCCAATGAATCCTCGTTTATACCAAAAATCTCTACCAGGTCCTGCCAAGCCTTATTTTTGGCAATTTTATTAGAATAATCTTCACACTGGATGTCCCATATTGCTGGTCTTTTTTTCAACTTCGTCAATGAATAGTTCGGTGTCAAAGCGCTCCATTGTCATACGTGCGATACGCGCGGATTCCACGGAGCAACTGAACACGCCCAGGGATTGTCATAGAATTACGTCCGCGCGGCGAACGCGCGAATTCATTTTCTTGCGGTCGAGTTGCGGCTACCGCGCGGTTGCATGGTCCGCGCGGTGTAGTATGAACGTTCTAGTACTATGCCATTATAATAAGATCCGCGCGGTTGACCCGCGCGGTTTGCGTCCGCGCGGTATCCGCCGTGTCTGAACTAAGGGTAAGACCATAGAATACTATAAATACATAATAGAATGGCTGTCAACCTTATATTGTACGAAAATCTGTGTCACCGGGAGCATACATACATACATAACATAAGCAATTAAGTCGTATTATCACTACTACAAACCCGAAAAACCCGGTTCACTGTGTTGTCAGACTAAGCGATTTACACATTCTCGACTTTTGATTAATGTTTTTGACACATCAATATTTCTTTATTTTTTTTTTTCTAATATTCACAAAATATAAAAAGTTTCGATCTACTTGTTAGATAAGGATTAGGATAGGAGGATTAGGTTGTAAGATATGTCTCCTTTATTTAAATTCCACTTCTCGCTGTTCTTTCGACACGTAATTATTACACAATTCGCCGTTTTTTATTTAATTTTCATGCAGCGACCCTCGACACGAAAATTGGAAGATTGTGTTCATTTATAGGTGTGAATTGACATGTTAGTGGATACACGGGCTCCGCCCCTTCCTTCTTAAGACAAAAGGAAATAAGCATCCTTGGTTAGTGTGAAATTTATAAAGAATGCTTATCCCTATCGACCATGGCACGGGACAGTCGTAAGCTGTAAACTAATAGACGGACTACAACTTCTGTTTTAGTCATATTCGAAAAAATTATTGCCAGTGATTACATTGTCCTTCTGGCTGGCTGTATGAAGAATATCAAACTCAAGGCTATGTTCGCAGTTTCTCTGTGTTATAGAATTAGAACATCCGCATTATTACCAGAGTAACCGACATAGCCCAAATGATTGATAAGCTGAATAGGAAAGGGCCGCGTATGTAGTTCGAAGAACCGTCACCTGACAAGTAAGAAAGGTTCTCGAGTGGTAGCTACGTAACGGTAGCGAAGCGGAATCCCCCCACTAGATGGGGTGATGACCTGATAAAACATACAAGAAGTTGATGCATGCAGGTGGCTCAGGGCAGTGCTTTATGACATTCCATGGGAGGCCTTCTGTTCAGCAGTGGACTTTTGAAGGATGTAATGATAATAATGAAGTCTGCAGTCAATTCACACTTGGACCTATGCAACCCGTCACCACATATGTCACTGCACTGTTACTTTACAAAAATCAGGTTAAATGCTCAAGTAAAGAGCATAAAGCAAAGTACATATTTTTTAGCAGGGTGTAAAAATTAAAAGCAATGAATAAGATTTATGTTTTATTGTAAATTCATAGTCTACAAATAGGGCTCGGGGAACTCAAATGTGACTTCGCGCCCCGTTAACTTCTTGTATACTGATTGGAAGGTATCCACCTGCGGACAAAATAATTTAAACCTTCAGTTTGCAAATAAGATATTTTAGAATATAGTATATATAGGGATTGTATGTTGCTCTTTGTGTTTTGTCGATATATTTTTTCATAGCAGTGGTGGCAAAAGAGCATGTGACCCACCAGATGGTAAGTGACTACCACCACCCATGAACAACCGCAACGCCAGAGCAATTACAGGTTCATTGCCGGCCTTTTAAAAAAGAGTAGACTTTTATTGAAGTTTATTAACAAAATTAAAAATATGCGTACTTTAACTAATGAGTTACGGAAGCTTAAATTTAAACTGAAGTCAAAATTAAAACACTAAATCATTAGTGTTTTTTGTTTAAATTGTGCTTGTGTGTCTGACACTGCCTACAAGACTAAGTCTGAACTTATTGAACGCACGTTACACTAATGCCCGGACTAATAAATTCCATGAAAGCATATCTTATTTCTCTAAATATATTTATATATATTGTGATTCAATATAATCGGTATTTCCTAGTACTGTGTAGTGGCGGTGTAAGAATATCCACTACCGCATAACGTCCTGAGGGTGTCGTAAAAAAATTAAAATTTCCTGTTAATAACTCAAAATAATAAAAAACTGCAGTTGCCAAACTGCTTGCCAAGTGTGGTAACTATGCTTTACTATAATATATAGTAAAATATAAGGATATCATAAATTTACGCGAACACCATTGAATAAAAACTATTATTTACGGATTTCATCTCGTTTAATTACAACTTTAATTTATCGTAACGTCGGGATAATAAAAATAAATTAAAGTTGTAATTAAACGCGATAAAATCCGTAAATAATAGTTTTTATTCAATGTATAGTAAAATATGTCAAATATACGTCAAAAAATTACTCCATATTTTTCATTAATAAGCGAGGTTTAGCAACCGGGCTAACAAACTTTCTAACACTTGCAGCATTCAAGGGATCTACATTGTGGAGAATTACATATACCTAGGATCTCTGTTCTCAAATGAGGGCACTTGCGTTCCCGAAATTAAACATAGAATAGCAATAGCTAAGGATGCGATGACCAGGCTGACAAACATCTGGAGGAACAGAAGCATAAAAAATAATACTAAATTACGCCAAGTATATACTTTTATATTTCCAATATTTCATTATGGAGTGGAAACATGGACTATACGCATCAGAGAAATGGAGAGAATTGATGCGTTCGAAATGTGCTGGAGGCGAATGCTGCGAATACCGTGGACTGCGAAGCGCATAAACGTGTCAATCCCATCACAACTCAAGATCAAGACGCGTCTTTCCACCACATGTCTTCAGCGCATCCTCAGCAATTTTGGTCATATCTCTCGCCGCGGGGACGCAAGTATTGAGAAATTTTTTACGACGCTCTCCGTATGGCCAGCGATAGGACCCGGTGGAGACAGATCATACACAATAAACTTACTCTTTGTAATGGTGATCACGATCCTCAGTCATGAGGGACCGACGAGAGAGAGAGAGATTAGCAACAAAACTTGCAGAAGTTGACTTCTGCAAGCTATTTCTACCGTGTAAACAATGACGTCAAGTTCACTTTCGCAAGTTTTGTAACTTGCAGTACTTGCCACAAGTCGCAAGTGTAAACACTATTTGAAACTTCTGGCAGTAACTTGTGGTTTATTTTTCTTGCAAATAAAGGTTTTATGTTGCTGAGCAAGAAGTCAGTTAAAAAAGTATGTATGATACTGTGCGGCTAATAGAGAAGTATGAACAATACAGAGAATTATGAGATATGAAGTGCCATGTGAAATACAGCAGCACTAAGTTACTATTTTACGCTGGTATTCTGTGAAAGTGTGGTCCTTCCTTGGTCGAGTTGACAAATTCATGCTATAACTATACTCTACTAATATAACTGCAGTATGGCTCTACCACGTATTAACGATTCTTTTCAACACTACTAAATAAGACTACTATAGCAGCAGCATATATTGTTCTATGGCTTGGCATGATGATTGATTTCAACTCTCTGAATTTGGATCCTCCGACTTGCATGCAAAAAATATTGCCCTTACTAGTGTAAACTCTTTCCAAGTACTTCCACAAGTTATTTTGCAGGTCTCTTGCCAAAGCAAATTGCGATAGTAATATTGCTGGTAGTGTAAACGGTTCTGCAAGTACTTGCGGAATAACTTGGCAGAAAAAATTTTTGCAAATCTAAACCCCACTATACATATTATATTGAAATTTAAAAAGTTTTTTATTAAAAAAATTTATTCATAAACAAGGTCTTACAAGTATATATATACAATGGCACATAGATACACTTCCACCATTGAAAGAATTTTTGCAGGCCATCCAAACACAAATTCAATGCGGAAATCGTACCGGTGGCCTGCAATCGAACACTACGCAACTAAGTATTATTATTTATAGTGCCTGACATAAAAGGGTTAATGTAACTCTAATTCAACTTGTAATAAGTATGGTATATTACCTTGTGCTCAATAGTTGTCTGCTGGTTCTTGTCAAGGTGCACTTTGATTAGCTGTGAGCCATCCAGTTTGACCCTGATGCGTTTGCCAACAATTTCAGCAGGAAACACTAAGTCCTCGAGAATGGCATCATACACTGATGTAAGTGTTCTGAAAAAATATTTTTCATAACATTAGAATAATAATCAATATTGCAGTGCACCTAATGTAAAATGACAAGTCACTGGCATCTTAATTTAAATGATATTTGATAAGCCTCTAACAATTTCTCTTACCAAGTAAGAATAAAACAGATCCACTGTACTTAAACGTAACTTTTGCACTGCTGATTGGCAGTGGAATTTGAAATTGGGTACTAAGCCAGATGAACTAATAAAAAATCTATAGGCATTATTTTTGCATTACATGAGTTATAAAATATGAATAGTCAATATTTTTATTTGATTATACGACATGTAACATAATTAACGCACTTTGAGAAAGTAGTTTTTTCAGAATCGTTTACTGAATCGATTTCTATCATTTTTAATATAGGTAATTTTTTATCTCAAAAATAATTAAAACTACGTAAATTACAGTCACACTAAATTTGTACAGTCAAAACAAACTGAAATGGACCGTCAAATGTAACTTAAGGCAATAAGACTTTTAAGAGTGCAGTTTTATTTGTATTATTACTAATTCTCATTCAATAAAAATAAAGAAATTTCAAGCGTTAAATCGTGTGGATTTGTACTGTGACCACAACATTCTTCCGGAATTAGTATAACTAATTTGATAAATAATCAGTGCATAAAAATGTTTAACTAAAAATTCAGCCTATGTATTATGATTATAACGTAATATACTAATTGGGGTGTTTAAGGGTGTGCGTTAATTACGTTACATATTGTATATACATGTCCATCCCATCTATCCATTACAGCCCATAAAAGTCCATGGCTGAACATAGGCCACCATAGGTTGATTTTACCATAGTTTAGACACTTGGCAAGCTGGTTATCAACTCCAGTTTTTTGTTATTTTGAGTTCCATCACCAGTTTCATTTTCCCTCCATCCCCTCCTGTGATACACACGGGACTATATAGGGTAGTGGATATTCTTACACTGCCACTAGATGGTTACACACATGTGTACCGTAATTATTAATTGTAACAATAGTGTTTATTTTATATTTTTATTTTTGGTATTCTATTTATTATGAAGTAAACAATCACTTAATAAATTATATATTATTAATAGAAGATATTTTATTACAGATATTTTGGTTCTAAGTTTTTGTACTTTCATTTAAGAATTCTGCCAATATAGTATGAGTGACTATTAATTACTAGGTGCTTCAAAGCAAATTACAATTTCTGATTGGAAATATATCTAAATTGAACAAAAAATATACATGTAAAACTCAATACTTTCACCACAAGTAGGTAAGTAATAGATCAAAGAATATTTTAAAGAAGGAAATTGTATATTACAGTTTATTAAATACTACACTCACTGATAGAATAGTTCATTATACTTAACTAAGTGGACAGGAGTACAAGTACATCCAAAGGTCGAAAATAAAAATTTGATTTGTTTGCTAGGTTATCGATAAGTATTTTTACTGAACTATAGGTTTTTAGAGAAGTCATCCTGAATATATTATATCGTCCAAACAACTTTTAATTTGCACTATGAGGATAAGAGATCAAAGCCAGTGATCATGGGGATAGGATCATGGGTAAAAAACATATTTTGGAGCCTAAAAGATAGGTTTTGTTAGTGATAGTTTCTTAAACTTTTTTGTATTCCTTGTAATATAGTAAACACGTAGATATATAATTTGTGGCATAAAAAGTGAAAAGTAAGTGCCAAAAGTACTTCGAAATCGAGAAGGCCCATTTTGGTCGAAAATGTGTTATTTTTCTAATTCTCATTTATTTTTAGTGTAAAATGTAAATAAAAAATAGTTTTATAACATATTTCAAATAACTTAACGTTGTATTTGTTTCAAATTAACACAAAAATATTTGAAATGTTGTTCGAAATGACATACAGATAAATATAATTATTTTTTTTTATATTTTGGTATGAGTAATGAATAGAAACACATAAAACATAAAAATATACATATTTCTAAACATTTTCATATAAATTTCTCCAAAAACAAAAGTGTAGAATTCAAATTAGTAGTAATTTTCGCACTAAAAGTGAAGTATATACTACTACTACTATGATATAAAGGGTAATTTATGAATTTCATTACAATTTCTGACAACCAAAAATAATTTTATTCGATAGTTTATACATTCAACAAGAATTGCTGTAAGTTTCATCCATAAATATTGTCTCAAAGTGAAAATATAGCAAAATTTGCAAGTTAGCAAAAAATTTGCAATTCCCGCCATTCGCGTCGTGAGCAAACAGGTTAACCTGTTTTTTGCTAGCGGGTTAAACTCAAATCTGCTTTTTCAGGAATCCAAGCTAGGGTAAAATATAAGCCTTTTTGGAAGCATTTAAACTGCACATTTCTAGTTACAAATGCTTCCTACTACTTTCTAAATTGCTACTGAGTAGTGGCATAGTTATGTGAGCAAGGGTCACAGGACAAAAATATGGGTTCCGGGGCAAAAATGAAATTGGGCCCTATTTAAAATAAACTAAACACTTTAAAGGTGCAAACTACTTCATCATCAGCTCCTTATTACCCACTGTAGGGCATAATAAAGCAAAGCTATTTACTACCTAAGTTTTATGAGTAACACAACAGACAAAATTTAATCATACTTCCTAATATTATGAATGTGAAAGTTTATATGTGTATAAGTTGTTACACTTTCACAAAAACTACTGGATAGATTCGGATGAAATTTTGCAAGGCAAACAAAGTCACGAGGGGAAGATAGTAAAAAAATAACAATGATGAAGTAGATTACAGGAAATAATATAGGTAGACAATAAACAAAATAGACAATTTTATTTTAAAAATATTACTGTTTTTATGTCCTGGAAGTGGGAAATGTTTTTGTGATTTCAGTTCAAACCATTCAAGGTTTGGTGGTTAGCAGCCTAAAGTTAAAACTCAAAAATTCTTTATTCAAATAAGTTATTATATTATAATGTTTACAAACATCGTTTATGGAGGCCGAACGAAGCCCTTGTACTTGGAGAACCTTGTGCAATGCACCACCTAGCCTTACGGTAGCTATGCCACTGCTCAGGAGTGAGGTAAGCACAGAGAGATTAATCAGATTCACATTTAAGGATATACACATTGGGACATTGTGGCAGTTTCCATAAGTAAACTTAGAAAGGTGACAAAATAAATAAATAAATAAATGATAAAATAGATATACATAATACAGTGTGAACAAATTAAAAATATAGCAAGTAAATTATAATGGAAAAAGAACCCAATTACAGTAACCTCATAAACAAAAGAGTTACTCATTATCATATTCTACACAATGTTATTTTATGTGATTAATGTTTTGCAGGTATCATTTATTTTGGTATCTGTTAAATATGCGAACGGGACAAGTGAAACTATGCTTAGTTGAATACACACCGCCCTTTATTCAAATGTACCTATTATTATAAGATGGTCACAGCCATCACTATACGTACATATCTACGTATACATAACAGTATCATAGTCATAAAATGTAGCCAATGACATTCAGGAGGTGAAACCAATCTAACAACATCTCACAGTTCAATTAGTTAAAACAGTTAAGGCTACATTAACTATGTACATACACATACAATATATTATATCATGGGTATTGTAAAAGCAAATATAGGGAAATAAAACTGGACATGGGTAGAAGCACTAAAATCAACTCAAAATAACAGGGCATGTTCCAAAATGTTTCCAGTATACTGGTGAATGCAAATGACGTCAATTTGACGTCATTTGCATTCACCAGTATACTGGGTTGTATTTTGGAACATACCCACAGTAAACTGCAGTTATCAACCTTCATGCTAAGCATGACAACTATGGTAAATATTTCCCTATGAAGGAGTCCACAGGGAAATGTTTAGCTGTAGACATTTAAAGTTTGTAATTAATGAATTAAAACCACAATACTCTTTCGTGGCAGTCCGGTAAACATCTATAATTTTACTGTTTTACCACTGATTTATGTCTGACATTTATTCCATATGCATAGGACAATATAGGGTTATGATTACTTTACCACATTGTACAAAATATTTGTAAATAAAGCTCATACCTCGATCGAGGCCTCTTCTGTTTGTTAGCAACACGAGTCTTGTGGCTGGGTTTGGGTAAAATCTTGCGATCACCAATAAAGACCACATGTTTTCCACTAAATTTCTTCTCCAGCTCACGCACAAGGCGGATTTGGATCTTTTGGAATGCCTTCAGCTTAGGCATCGGCACATAGATGATGATTGACTGAAATAATTTAATTAATTTATATAATTAGACTGAACAAAAGGAAGGATATAGTATTAATAACAATCAAATCGCATGTAAGTTGTATAATCTTAATAAAGGCATTGAGACATGTTAATTGAGAAGTATAATTATTTGTAACATTCTTTTGATACTAATGGCCCCTAAAAAACTAAAAATATTGGCTTTTTAATATTCAAAATGAAGTTATTGTAGTAGACAAAAAAAGAGCATAACAAGGAATGTAACCTACTAGTAAATTCTCTAAGATTTACTTTGTAATGTGTAATTTTCTTATTTTTTAAGTTTCCCTGTCCACAAATGAAACACAGTATTTAAAATATTGAAATGTTCATATAAGATTCATGGGAAAGGGAAAAGGTTAATTTTACTGAATTAGCTGATAAAAATTTGCAGTTTTATGAGGTTTTCTACCTTTTTGTTATGAAGTTCAATTTCCTTAGCCTTAGTTATGTAGAGCTCCCGGAGCTGGGCCTTGAGGTCAGAATTAGTTTCTAACTCAACCAACGCCTGCGAGATCGATGTCTCGAAGGGGTCGGGTTCCCCGGCATTTGGTTTAATAATCTTCGTACTCATCTGTAAAGTGAAACCACCCAGTCTGATCATTGAGGTTAGAAAACTTTCAACACAAATATCTTAAATATATCACAAATAGGCACTTTAGAACCACATATTTTCAATAATTGTATAATTGTTGTGACGATTTACAAAGGTAATCAGAGTTTTAGAGCATTCAGCAACAATAACATCGTTGAAGACGGGAGGTTGGTAAGATACCAAATTTTATCTGAGTAATCTTTACCGTTGATGAAAAATTATGTAATTATATTAATTGCTAAGACAGTTATTGATCCTAAAACAGGGGTATTTATTTAATTTCTATATTAATTTCATAAATTTATTTTAAAAACTTTTACGAATCACTACCTTGAGAACTGAGCGGGAGCGAAAGAGATAGACATAGGGAAACTGTCAAGTCAACACAATTTTTTTACTGTTTACAATGTCGTAGACTACCAGGCCTTCCGCCAAAAATACATCATTGTTACTCAACATGTAACAGCAATAAAATGAAAATAATAGTAATTCAGGTAAAAAACTATGTGATTAAATATATATTATAAATAGCTAAGCGCTTTTTCAGCCCTGACTGATCCTTCATTTATTATCTTGCAAAATGATAATAGATCCAGTTAAAAGAAACTAGGGACTAGGAAATGATTATTTCGTCAATATTTATTTAATAAGTATAATCTGTCTAGTTATTGCGGTAAGCCACAGTGCGATAGTAATACATCGTTTTAGATCTTTTTTGAAAATTCTTATTTTCAAAAAAAGATCTAAATTCTATTCCAAATTTCGCCACGCCATTCCAAATCAAGAAGCTTCAACAGTTGCAGATAAACTAGTTCAATATGTCTTCTGTCGTTTTGGTGTACCTTTAGAGATTCACAGCGATCAAGGAAAGAATTTTGAGTCTCCAATATTCCAGGAAACTTGTCGAGTTATGGGTACTCATAAAACAAGAAGATTAGCACCCGCAATCTGATGGAATGGTAGAACGATTTAATCAAACATTGGAGAGGTACCTAGCAAAAGTAGTAGATAATCGGCAACGAGATTGGGACAAGCACATACAACCGTTTTTGTTGTCAATTTGAAGCGCTGTTCACGAAATTACATCAGTGACACCAGCTTTCGCAAACTTTGAAAGAGAATTACGGCTGCCTGCAGACCTGATCACCGGGATACCACCTGATGCCCCACGCGGTATAACCGATTATGCAAATGACTTGCGGAACAAAATGAATGACATTTATGATCACGTCAGACAAACGGGCCAGCAAACGTCTTAAAAGATGAAAACACGGTATGACAGCAATATGAACAACAAAGGGTTCGACGAAGGTTCACTGGTGTGGTGGCACAATCCAGTCCGCAGCAAAGGGAAATCTCCTAAGCTTCAAGCTAAATGGGACGGCCCGTACCAGATTGTGACCAGGAACAACGATGTAACCTACCGGATACAGAAAGGCGCAAGAGGTACTCCTAAGATCGTCCATGTGGACGATCCTAAGTTGACGACTTGACCAGAGCGAGGAGAGCTTCCTAGAAAATGTCAATCTTGAACTTTCCACCAACAGCGCCACCTAGTATCGAACAGAAGAATTAACCTTTCTAGAAGCCCCACACTAGAACTTTCTGCGCCTGTTCGGTCGGCGCCCGTATTTACTGGAATATTCTGGATGTTACGGTGGAAAAGGTGTTTTTAAGGCCGCTACATGCCGTGATCGGGGCAGTATTGAATTTGGCGAGACAAGCGAAGCTTCGAAGCGAAATAAAGTGAATCAATGTGATTAATTATTGGTGTCTTTTAAGTTTTAATTGGTGTTCAGTAATAAAAGTGTAAATTTTGGTAATTCAATCGGCGGTTTTTGTTGTCACGAACCTCAAGCTCGTAACAATAATATTGTTACTATTTTATCAGAAGCCGCTATACAGAGCTATGCAGAGCATAGATATTATAAGCGTAGCGGTCATGTTATAGGGTGGAACAGACATGTGAGGGAAGCACACTTGATAGCTAGACACCCGTACGCTCTATAAGGATACACATATACCTAACACAACGGGCTTACGCTCGCTCGTCTTAGCGACACATGTGCCTACTAAGAATTTATGTGGGCCAACGCGACAAAAAAAGGTTTGTCATTAAAAACTATAACAAAGTTATACTGAAATGTGTAATACAGACATAGACAAAGACATAATCTTTAATTTGGTACCATAATCTGTCAGTTTTTGTACTAAAAATAAACATAAAAATCATTCTGGAGTAACGGGTTTTTACACCAGTAGTGCGTGGTAGTGTGTGAGCTATTGCTTAGTGATTTCTCCGTTTTTCTGTGTGTCTTTAAAATACAAAGGTGAGTTTTATACTTTTGTGTATTCCTTGTAATATAACAAACACGTAGATATGTAATTTATTTCATAAAAAGTGAAAAGTAAGTACCAAAAGTACTTCGAAATCGAGAAGGCCCATTTTAGCGGTAGGGTCAAAATGTGTTATTTTTCCAATTTTCGTTTATTTTTAGTGTAAAATGTAAATAAAAATTTAAATACTTATATTTAAATTACAAAAAATATTTGATATTGTTCATTTCATACAATAAAATGATTTTGGTATATTTTTTTTAAAATATTTTGGTATGAGTAACGAATAGAAACACATAAAACATAAAAATATACATATTTCCAAACATTTTCATATAGATTTGTCCAAAAACAAACGTGTACAATTCAAATTAGTAGTAATTTTGTGACTAAAAGTGAAGTATCTACTACTACTATGCTTTAAAGGGTAATTTATGAATTTTGTTACAATTTCTAGCAACTAAAAATAATTTTATTCGGTCGAATATACATTCAACAAGAATTCTTGTAAGTTTTATCCATAAATATTGTCTGAAAATAAAAATATGACAAAATTTGCAAGTTAGCATACAATTTGCAATTCCCGCCATTTTAAGGTCGCGAGCAAACAGGAGTATCAATTGACGTGACCTTGCGAGGAAACAGTATCTTATACGGTTATGGCATAACAAACCAAGTAGTGGTTCTATATATGACCTATAGTGGACAACTGTCATTAAAAATACGACTAGTGGGAAAATCTCATACGTAGGCTACAATATATATAAAGATTTTGTGTAATTTGGCCATAATATAACGATAAGTATCAAGTGAGTCGGAAATATACCTGCCTGCTGAGTTATCTTGGCGTGCGCTGCCTCACTACCAACAGTTGGAGTTACACGAAGATGATATACCGTAGGATTGTTTTTCTTAAATACCTTTTATGTGGAAGCCATTATATCCAAAATAGTGAATCATAAATAAAATTAAATTTGATACTTTTTTACAATGCACATTTTAGAGTATTTATCAAAATATTATCAAAATTGATACATTTGTCGCTTTCAATATTTAATGTAGATGAACTTTGTTTTTTACTCAATAAATTTAGACGAATAGTTTAAAAGTTATCACAATAAAATTGACATGAATGGAGCAACCAGCGCAAAGCGGGGGTGGAGGGGCGGTCCTAGCAATGACGCGCGATCGCCGAGTGCTTGACCCAAACGTGGGCAGATGCGGAGGGCAGACGTCGTTGACGATTATGTTCAGTTTGCGTCATTTCTTACAGCTAATTCGATTCTCGAAGAGATTTATTATTTAGTACTGTGTATAGTGGTAGACATTATTTTTAGTTAGTATAATTTCATTAGGAATATAGATTACTTTTTATTTTTATTTTATTTGTATTACAATTGTTTCACTTTTGTTCATTTGATTATAGGATAAGTAATACTTACATATAATTACAAATACAACGTAAATATACTACAGTACCTAATTATAGTACAGTTTAATACAGTATAAGCTAAAACAGTATAATATTAATAGGATATTATAAACGCGAAAGTTTGTAAGTATGGATGGATGGATGTTTTTTACTCTTTCACGTAAAAACTACCGTATGGATTTCAATGAAACTACAATAATATAGATTATACATCAGAATAATACACAGGGTACAATTTATAAAGATATTGTGTGAATTGTCCAAAATATGACAATAAGTGTCAAGTAAGTAGGAAAAAATCTACCAACTGCGAGCTATTCTGGCGTGCGCTGCCAAAACCGCTAGAGTTACACATATAATTGTATGGCACGGCGCCGTCGGCAGTGGCGGGTGAACTGTGCGGGTGGTGGGGTCTTCTGGACCCAAAAATTATTTATGTAATAATTTTAATGCCATAACGTTAGTTCTTTTCTACGCCACGCTTATATAAGCTACTCGAAATACTAATTCTGCACAGACGAAGTTGCGGGCACCAGCTAGTAGATTAATAATACCAAGGTGTTATTTGAAATTCTTTTTTTTAAATATTTAAAAATGATCTTCGGAAAAAAACTTTGAAATTATTGAAAGTATGTTTATTATTTTGCTACAGGTTTATTTAACATTATGCAGGATAAAATTTAAAACATGTAACAAATCGAAATAGGAGGTTTAGTTCACTTATTTTAAAAATCAGATTTGTGAAAAGAAAAGTCCTATCAGTTTATCGTCTTAGATGGTGTTAACCAAGTTTTTGTTTTTATTATTAGGCTTCAATCACAAAACCGCTATTTAAAAAAGTTGTTGATTTTCAAGAGTTATTAAGTGAACTATCTGGAAAATATTTAATAAATTAGGAAAATAAAGAAGTTTTACAAAATATAATACTTAGTTAAACAAAGTGAACTTTAAACAGACAGCTGCTTAAAAATAAAACGTGACATCTACATAGGGCTAAGTATTCACCAGAATGATGTTTTGCTTTAACTTTACATTACTATTCACGGAAAGCTTAACGATATGTGCGAAATATTAAAAGTTTTAAAATTTGTCTGCCTTTAGCACATAATATAACAAATTGGTATAGTATAATTGATGACCGACTTGGTTACACAAAAAAAGCGTTAACTGTTTTAAAACTTAGACTAGAGAGTAACCCTGACAAGAAATTGTATTGTATATATTAGTGATAGATGAAATGAAAATAAAACAATTGACGGAGTAACATGCAAGTTCTAAAAGAAATTTTGGCTATGTTAATTATGGATTTGACTTCAATTCGGAGAACGCTACTGATGCTTTAGTATTTTTATTACTGGGCATTAATACTTTGGTAGTACTTCTTAGTAAAGTGTACAAGTGCTGACCTAAAAGCACGGCTGATGACCCAAGCTTTACACATAGTTCATGAAACCTATGGTTTAAGAGTTAGGCTGTTGCTTAAATACAGAAAACTTACAGTAGTCTGTAAGTTTTCTGTATTTATATTAGATCCATGTACAGACACAAATATTTTTTTTTAGATACCGGCTATATGCTGAAACTGGTGCGTAATCTTTTAAGTTTTATAAATATTTTATCCAAACTGTAGTAAATTTACCTTTATTTGAAGACGTTGCTCCCATATCTAATTTTTTAAAGTTAATAAATGATATTTTCGATATTCTCGACTCAAAAGCTTGGTCAAAAAATTTAAACGAGCATTAAATAGTAATAACTATCAAAGTACCTTTTTCAGGTTTGATGAGGTTAAAGATGTTCTATTAAACGTAGAAATCAATGTCATTTCTCGTAATAACGTATACATGTCCTCAGTACATAGGATTTTTAGGATTTCTTGTGTGCACTGAAATCTCTTTGTGTGTGTGTGTGTGTGTGTGTGTGTGTGTGTGTGTGTGTGTGTGTGTGTGTGTGTGTGTCTTTATGTCTGCTACATTATTTTCTACAGTTGTTCCATAGCACAGCAGTTTATGCCTCTTTCAGTTCGGATCAATTTGATATGTATTAGCATTTTTTTTATAAATGGCTTCAAAGTGACTTGCGTAGGGATTATCTTAATGACCACCATGACTTCTGATGTTCGTGAGATGCATTTCTATATGGTCTTGACTAATTCAAATGGTCTTGACTAATGGTCTTGACTAATTTTGTGTAGTTATAAATAAGTAAGTGAAGTGTTTGGGCCTAATACCAGATTGTCAAATGTGCTAGCACTTTCAATGAAAACAAAAGAAATCCTAAAAATACTATGTACCGATGACAGTTTATAAATCATCTGTATACGTTATTACGAGAAATGACATTCATGATGATAAATGAACAATGACAGAGAAAAGACATTCATCATCATGAATGTCATTTCTCGTAATAACGTACACAGATGATTTTTAAACTGTCATCGGTACATAGGATTTCTTGTGTGCATTGACACGATTTATGAACGCATTTCCTTATATATAATATGTAACGTAATTAATTAAATTAAATATATACAACATGTAACAAAAACCCTGTGGTTCCCGTTAACTGCGTGATCAGAATCAGTATCCAAGCATATAGAAATACTTTTTTTTTGAATCGTCATCATCATCATCATCATTTCAGCCCTTCACAAGTCCACTGCTGAACATAGGCCTCCCCCAAGTAATGCCACAAAGCACGGTCCTGAGCCACCTGCATCCATCGACTTCCTGCATGTCTTACCAGGTCGTCACTCCATCTAGTGGGGGGTCGCCCTACACTACGCCTACCGGTACGAGGCTGCCACTCGAGAACCTTTCTTCCCCATCGGTTATCGGTTCTTCGAGCTATATGGCCGGCCCATTGCCACTTCAGCTTACTAATCCGTTGGGCTATGTTGGTCACTCTGGTTTTACTGCGGATATCCTCATTTCTGAGTCTATCACGCAGTGAAACTTCGAGCATAGCCCTTTCCATAGCTTGCTGAGCGACCTTGAGCGTCCTCATACGGCCAGCGGTGAAGGACCACGTCTCAGATCCGTAAGTCATCACTGGCAACACGCACTGGTTATACACTTTAGTTTTCAGAGAATGAGGTATACCTGACGAGAAGATGTGTCGTAATTTCCCGAACGCTGCCCAGCCGAGTTGAATCCGTCGATTGACCTCTCGGTCGAAGTTGGACTTACCTAGTCGGACTATTTGTCCCAGGTAAACGTACTCGTCAACAACTTCGAGCATAGTGCTCCCAACAACTACCGGCATAGGTGTGACATGGACATTAAACATAATCTTTGTTTTGTCCATGTTCATCTTAAGACCTATCCGTTGGGAGACACCATTGAGGTCATTGAGCATAGTGCTAAGGTCCTCCAGCGATTCTGCCATAAGGACTATATCGTCGGCAAATCGAAGGTGAGTGATGTACTCGCCATTGATGTTACTACCGTATCCTTTCCAGTCCAGTAGCTTGAAAACGTCTTCCAACGCAGCGGTGAAGAGTTTCGGGGACATAACATCACCCTGTCTTACACCTCTCTGCAGTTGGATAGGTTTCGTACTCTGGTTCTGTACTCGGATAGCCATCGTAGTCCTACTGTACAAACACTTCAGCACAATACCGACAGTCAACTAGGCACCGCTGAAGACTCTAGCACCGCCCAAATTTCGACGGAATCAAAGGCTTTCTCATAGTCCACATACGCCAGGCAAAGTGGCAGATTGTACTCTTCGGACTTCTGTACAATTTGCCGAAGGGTATGTATGTGGTCTATGGTACTGAAGCCTTTTCGGAAACCGGCTTGTTCGGGAGGCTGGAAGTCGTCGAGTCTGCGTGCGAGACAATTCGTAATGACTCTTGAAAACAGCACGTAGACGCGGCTCAGAATGGAAATCGGTCTGTAGTTCTTCAAGAGAGCGTTGTCGCCTTTCTTAAAGAACAAGACCACCGTGCTTCTGCTCCACGCCTCCGGAGTAGTGCCACCATGGAGGACGGAATTGAAGAGCTTCTGAAGGACTTCAAGTACCGGTGTTCCACCCGCTTTCAGAAGCTCAGCTGTAATTCCATCCTCGCCCCGGGGCCTTGCCGTTTTTAAGGTGGTGGAGAGCCATTCTAAGCTCGCTCAGACTGACGTCCGGGATATCATCGGAATAGTGTCGGATAAGACTTGCTCTTGGATTGTTACTCACACTTGCGTGTGGCTCCAACGATGATGTGTACAGCTGCCCATTTGGAGCCCTGGTTCCGCTCGATCGCTTCTTTAATACGAGCAGTAATAAAGTTGCGTAAGTCTCGCCGCATGCATTTGGAGATCTGTCTGTTCAGTTGCCTGTATGCTGTCAAATCTGTTGACGATTGCAGCCTCATCTCCCGTCTAACAGCCATGAGATTAAGAGTGTGATCGGAGAGTTTTTGTGTTCTTCTGCGGCGGGTCTTGCAGAACTTAGCTCCGACCGCATGGACAGTTTCCACGCGCTTGTCATTCATATCGTCCACTGCATTGCAATCCTCTAGGCACTGAAAGCGGTTTCGTAACTCGAGCTGAAAGTTTTCGGGATTCTGGATTAGAGCACGAGGGGGGACGGAGCGTTGACTTCATTAGACGAGACCTCTCCAACTTAACATTTAGGTTCAGTGTGCCTCTAACCATTCGGTGATCGCTGCCAGTTTTCACCCTTGCGGTCACTGAGACATCACTGAACAGTTGGCGTCTGGTCGTCATAATGAAGTCAATCTCATTTTTTGTCAAACCGTTGGGGCTCGACCAGGCCCACTTCCTGTGGGGCCGCTTCTGGAAGAAAGAGTTCATCATAAAGAGTCCCTCTTTCTCCATAAAGTCGGCCAGCTGCTGGCCCATTCGGTTCCCTTGCCACTCCAAATTTCCCCACCTTCAGCTCACCGCTTTCTCTTGTGCCTAGTTTTGCGTTGAAGTCTCCCATCCTCCAAACACACCACCGTGTAGTGTGTTTTGGAGGAATGCATGGCTCTGGAAATATCCTCATACATTTCCTCCACCTCCTCATCGGGATGTGCCGAGGTTGGTACGTAAACCTGTATGACCTTCAGCGAATACCGTTTGGTGATTCTGAGTATCAGGTACGCGACCCTCGTCGACACACTCCCAATCTTTACAACGTTGTTGACGAGAGATTTGTGGACGATAAATCCGACACCTCCTTGGGACAGATGGTCGCCCTCCCGGTGGTAGAACAAGTTGCCGGACTCGAGGATTGCCGTATCCTCCCCCTCTCTTCGGACCTCGGATAATCCAATAATATGCTAGCGCAACTTGTCTACCTCTTCTTCCAGCTCCAGTATCTTCTCGTCAGTCCTCAGAGTGCGTGCGTTATATGTTGCCAGGTCGAGTCGTCGTAGGTGGCAACCGAACCTCCACCGGAGATTCTTAGCACCCCCTGCCCCGCCGTTACCATGGTCGCCACCGTAGCCAGGAATAGCGGGGCCGCCGGGGACGGGGGGCCGTTTTTTTGCGTCGTTATTCATGGGGGGATATTTGCCATAGTTGCCACGCTTGGCGAGCGGGTTGGCAACCGCAGTTTTTTTATTATAACACAGTTGTTATCAGGAAGATGCTACTGCCCATCTCCCTCTGTCGCCTCTTACGACACCCACGGGAAGATATGGGGTAGTGGATATTCTCAATTTTTTTGAATAACACATTGAAAAAAAATATTTGCAAATTGTATGTGCTTTTATTACCTCTACTCTACATTCACCGAGGAGTAAGAGGATTGTCAAAGAACCCGCATTACCGATACTCGTGTGAGTTAGAGGAAATAAAACCACATAGAATTTGCAAGTTAAATTTTTTTCATTAAAAATACACAACACGTGTGTGTGTGTGTGTGTGTGTGTGTGTGTGTGTGTGTGTGTGTGTGTGTGTGTGTGTGATCTAAGTATTTATGTAATCTAAGTATTCTTAAAACCTCATAATAAAAGAAGTGACATAAAGGTATATATCAATACGATTTAGCCTGCGAGAAAATGAAATGGAATATTAAATTAAATCGTGTCGTGTTTATGCTATCTAGCGTATTTTGTGCGTACCACGTTGAGTCTGAAATTTAAATCAGTTTCAGAGTGAAATATTGTAGATAGTAATAATGAAAACGTGTATATAAAATGAACTTTTAAATACGCCTATAACATTTATCAGCCAGTTCTAAGCCTGGAAAAAGTGTGAAAGGAAGTTCGTTTTATTATTTTGTAAACAAACATATGGTGAAGTCGTTACGTACACTGGCGGAAATTTTTTTAAACTGTTTTTTAAACTGTTTCTCATTTCAAAACAACGGTTTCGGTTTGTTTTACAAAAAACCTGGAACGACCCAGTATTAACTGAAAATAAAATTTAAACACAAGAGCTTTTTTTGTTGAAACGCAAAGCACAAAAGCAAATAGGTACTTCAATATTTCAATGTCGGTTTCAACTTAAGTTTTCAGGTCGTGTTACAAATATTTAAAATTAATTGGGTTAAAATAACATTCT